CTTATGCTCTAATAAATTTGTTAGTCTCTAAGGTGCCACAAGTACTCCTGTTCTTTTTGTGTTGAATTCATGACCCCAGTCTTTATCTCCAAGATACTTAATGGTTGAGGATATGTAAAAAATAGTCACCTAAATCTGGGAAGTGGATCATGGTCAACCACAGCAGTCTTTTGACACAATGGAATTATCTGCCACATGGATAAAGCTCATTTGTCACCCTTTACTATAACATTGGTTTATGCCTTTTTTACATCCATCCATTTCTGCTGCTCTTATTAATACATGTTGCTCAAGACTCTTTACTGTACATCTCTTTGTATGTGTGTGTGTGTGTATGTGTAAAAACAATGAGGAGTTCTTGTGGCACTTTACTCCTTGTTGTTTTTGCTGATACAGACTAACATGGCTACCACTCTGAAACCTGTGTGTGCCTGTGTGCAAATCTTTTGTTAGACTAATTATAGAAAGCAGACATAAAAAACACAAGGAAGATTGGTCAGTCTCCTCTGTTGACAAAGCTGAGAAGAAATTCTCCAACTAACAGTTTCACCACTGTGGCTAGTAGTGATGAGTCATTTCCACTTGGGAATTCTGTATTTCCATTGTCAGGGTGGGTATATGCTAGATTGATAGCAGCTTCAGTAACAGTTCCACAAAGAAATGTACCTAAGCTTAGCTGTCCTGAGTAACCAGTTCTGTGAAGAAAAAAATTCCAGCTGATACAAAATTGAGTTCTACAAGAACCAAAGTGAGGTCAGGTGTGAAGTCTTGCAACAGTGAAATCAATTCAAGGAAACATTTAAAAGGGTTTTAAAATGTCATCACAAGATTGATAGAGGTTTATGTGATGGCAAAATGAAGATAAATAAGATTCAAAAGGTTCAACAGCAGATAGAAAAGATACACTACCCAATGACAGCCTGAAAGGACAAGTATATCAAGGACTTATCTAACATCAGAAGGCTCAGACTGCCAATGCTATTGAAGATTGTATTCTATTCCTTTCTCCTAAGAGCCCTCTAGGGATATCACAGTAATTTGCCATGGGGTTTCTCCATTGATGTCTGGAGTTATTGTTGATTTATATTGGCGTTAGAGGAAAATTCTAACCCTAGTATATATGGTTGTCAGATAGTTTAGTCTTTTAAGGCTATTCTAAGCTAAGTAAACAACTTGAGTGACCATTGAAAAGTACTAACTTATAAATAATAATCCAGAACTATTGTACTCAAGAACTTTTTAGGTATGAATCTATATGAATGCCTATCAAAACCATAGAATTAACATAGCAGTATACTATGAGACAATAGGTACTTCTAAAACATTACATGAGGAAAGTAGAAGAGCTGATCAATGATAATATTATGGGTATAAGACATATTCCCCAACAATATAGTTGACAACTGTGGTTCTGAACCAGTCAGAGTGCAATTGTGGTTATATTCCATGCCAAATTTGATTCAAGACAAGAAACTATATGAAAGGAATATTAAGATTACAGTGTGAAGCATTCAAAAGTCAGAAATGCCAAAGGTAAGGTTATAAATACAATCTTTACTCCCTCATGTGTATGCATTATGGTATAGTACATGGTTGATGCTGTTATTTCCACTGTCTCATGCACAGGTTTGAAAAGTGCAGAGTGAATAAGGCATCAATTCAACTTTTACTTACAACCATACTGTTCAATGAGTGGATCCCTACCTCATTCACTGGACATCAACCAAACTGTATTGGACATTAGGAAAAACTTCCTAACTGTCAGGGTGGTTAAGCACTGGAATAAATTCCCAAGGGTAGTTGTGGAATATCCATCACTGGAGATTTTTAAGAGCAAATTAAAGAAACAATTGTCAGGGAGGGGACTGGACTAGATGACTTCTTGAGGTCCCTTCCAGTTCTATGATTCTATGAAAGAGACAGGGGTCTTCTGACTGAGCCCTGAAAAGTTGAGAGGGAAGAGGTGGTCAGCTAAATGCCCCTAGAGATGCTGGAGGTGAGAGGGATTTAAAGAAATGTGGGAAGTCCTGGGCCAGTAGGATTGGGATGAGGGGGAGGTTTCAAACTCAATTTTATTTTCCAAGCACCTCCTGTCAGGGGATGCCAGGAATATTCTTTCCTTTCCTGCTGAGGATGGGTGAGTGGAGTTTTGATGAAGGATTTGTGGTTTTGATTGGCACTTGGCAATTACACCTGCTTTTGAGCCATACTCGGATAAAACATAGTTCAAGTCTCACTTTGAATGTAAACAGAAAGTGAAGCTCAAGAACAGTCAATCCATGTGAATTAAAACTACCAAGGTATGCAGAGTTTATAGCAACAATTTGATTTTTACTGAAACAGAAACTGTATGTTTATGTGTACTATTACTTTAAATCTGTAACACAAAGCACACAGAAGAGGGACAGGGCAATGTTCTAGGCAGAAGTTCTACAGTGAAGCACAGGGACACAGACTAGTATTGCCCTGAGCGGTAGATGATGTGGGACCTTATAGGACAGCTTCTCATTGGTAGAGAAATCTGTGACACAATAGTATACTGTCATTGTAACTTGTTTTATTTACACATATATAGCAGTCCTGGAACAGAGATAATTACAAATGGCATGGAGGCAATCTTTTCTTTCAATTATCTCAGTCCAACACCAGTGCCTGATTCCCAGAGAGCAACGACTTCTCAAAAATTTACTCCAGTTAGGCAGATTTAGTCAAAAAGCAAAATATCCTCCTGTTTCTCACAGCTCCTCACAAAGAACCCATACTAGCAAAACTAACAAAACCAGCATTTCTCCAAAGACTAAAAACTTGGTCTCCCACTAAAAATAAAAACTTTTAAGACTATGTGTAACAGCACTATTTGGTGACTCCTGCCATAACAAAAGTTCCTTATTCTAAATAATCCCTGTTCAGTGTTTGAGGAAAGTAACTTGTTCTGTGATTTCTTTCTCATAGTCACATGGCAGAAACTTTGCTTGAGGTACTTGATCTCTTAGAAATAATTCAAAAGAAGCAATAACTTTAATGGGAATATCTAAACTATTGATTCAGTTTATCAACCATTGCTCTAATAATAATGAAAAAGGTGATTTTTAGATACTTAAAAAAAATCTGACTTACTTTACAGCATAAGTGCTAAGGGTTTTGAGACATGTGGTATCATTTATTGTGATTTGCTAAGCAGACTTTTTCCATATCAGACACTTTCCTTTTAGTTTTCCCTTTACACGTGCAGTTGATACAATGAAGAATTGGACTTGGTAACATGGTTTCTATGGTAGTTGTTGAGAGATTGCCTGACTTTCAAAAAGTTCTCTGTTTTTTGTGAATATACTGTTGTACCTTCAGTTAATTGGACTCAAAATATTGCACCTACAGTTTTCCTGGCAATTCATTGTGGGTGCAAAAATATGCCCACAAAAATGGGGGCCAGGTTTGAAAATCAGCCCCTTTGTTTTTATGAATACTAACTATCTGTTTTTTGCCTTTCATGGTCTGAATCTGCTGTGACATGCCTAGCCAGAGCTTCACCTTCACAGTATTTCCTATAGTTCTGACAGTTGCCTGCTTTTCTGTGGCTGTGTCACTATGTCAAAGCCCAGTCTGCCTGCAGCCAGATACTGCATTAAGATCAGCCATTGTAGCTGAGCTCCTTGACTAGTCCTTCAGCTTCTGGTCTCCAAGCTATGCTGTCAAACTGTCTTTAGAAAGTTGACATCGGGAGACTCAGGGAGGCATTTTATGTGGACTGAAGAGGTACTAGTACTAAAGCAGTGCAGAAAACATTTAAAATTAAAAGAAACTGATTAAAACAGGCTCTCTGTTTTGAAGCTGAATAGACCCAATCTGGAACTGTTTTATCTCTGAGGAGAATTCTTGGCTCTTTGTTTAATTAGGGTTGCAATTTTCATAATAATTCAAAGAGAAATATCTTGCCTTGTTTCTTCTGTCTTCCACTAATATTTCATTATGTTTAGAATTAATACAAAGATATTGAACAAAGGAGACTTTTGATAAGCTACACGTCTGCAAATGCTTGGTTTGGCAAATGCAATATTTATTCTTACCAGGTATTCTGTTAAGTGGGTTCTGTTGTATTGATTTGAATTTCTTTGTGTAAAAAGGGCAGAAATGAAATGTATTTTAATATCAATTTTTGTATTGATTGTTTTATGCTTTGTATAGAATCTGTGACCACTCTACCAATTCTCAGCTTATGTTGTCTAGTACAATGAAATCCTTTCTCAAAGTGACATCTCTAATTTCTATGATTTTATTCCTTCACTGGCAGGAGGATGGACTGAATGATCTGAGAGGTCACTTCTATCTCTAACCACTGTGCCTCTGGGCCAAACTTTAAAATGACCAAAAGTGTGTATCTTTTTATATTTACTTCATATAACAGCCACAGGAGTTGTCTTGGACAGAAAAAAATCATTTCTAAGAGCTTCTTCCCTAAATAAATACACAACACAAAGCCAAATTCTATTCTAAGGTGCATCACTGATGTAGGTTGTCAGGTTACACCGGGGTGTCTCAGTGTGATGGAGAGGAACATTTGGCACAAACAGTGCCATAAACAATCAAGTCAATAGCAACACAAGTCCATAAACATCCTAAACTCTAAGCTACAGCTTGATGTCCCTTGGGAATATTTGATTTCATGCTGAGATGGGTCCAATCTATTTCACAGCTAAGATTAATTTAGTACTTTCTTTTTCCAGTTCTTTGCATGTCATGGTGACTAATTTTAAAGCAGATACTCAAACCAAAGTTCACTATCCAAACAGTCCAGAAGTGTGGGGTGTTTGAAATTTGGATCTGAAATTTTATAGCTGGAGCCCACCTTGACTTTAAAGTGTGTTTGTCTAACTCAGCCTTTATGTTTGACAGGTGATTAACATATCTTAGTTTTATCATT